AACTCCATTGTATAGTGTTTTGATACATCTTATAATCATTTTTCTGAATTCCTTCTCAGGCATTTCCAAAGCCTGCCCATCTTCCAGTATGGAGTGTAGGTCTACTTCCAGCTCACTTGCCTCAGTCACTTTATCTCTTTTCTGGAAATGTGCTGATTCAGTAGTGATCTGTGGCCTTAATACTTAGATGGGTGTGTATTTTGGTATTTTTTTGTTTTCTGATTGTCTCCAAGTAGATATGATCAGGAAATGGGCTTCCCTTTTCACTCTTCTTCCTGAGAAATTTCAAGATGTCACTGTTGGTCGTTGTGACATAACTCAGGATTTAATTTTCTGCCTAGTTCTTTATTAGTCTGCCTGTCCTGTCCCACAGTCCCCAATCAGGCCTTTTTCCTAACGATAACCAGTCAGAGCTGGCTGTGGCTGTTTTGCATTGCTGTTTTATTATTATTATTATTAAATGTTTTATTGTGAATTATATAATAGATTTTACATGGGAGAACATTAGTTTTACATTCATTCTATTGTATATCGTTTCATTACCATGGTTACAATCCCCTTCAGGCATCATCAACCAACCAAAGGGTACACCCTGCAAGCCTGTCCCCCAGTCGTCAGCACACAGCCCCTCTCCCTCTCTGGATCTAAAGTCCCCAGCTGCTCCATTTCTCCATGTCTTCATCTCTGCCTCCATCTCTGGCATCACTGCTTCTCTGGGTAGGGTCCTGCTCTCCACTCTTCTCCCTTGATGGCCCCAGGGACCTCTGCTCCTAGACTGCAAAGTTAATCACTCACCTCCTTGCTACAAAACGTCTACTTTTACATTTCCAACCCTCACAATCAGTCCTGATAACAATTATTCACTATTGTATCACAAGAGACCTGTCTGCATTTCATTTCATCAGCCCCGCCCAGACAGATTGGATACTACTCACTGGAGATTCTACCTTCCCCCACACCCTCTGGATCTAGGTTCCCTCTTGAAAGCTTGTAAGCCAGTCACTTCTTGCCTTCATGCCGTTTGGTTTTAAGTGGAAACTGTCACTTTAAATTTCGAGGAGATCTGTACACATGCATAATAGAACCCTCCAGGGGTGGGGGTGGGGTCTCCATTCACTCAGATACCCCCTCTAGTCACCAGAATGGAGGTGCGCAGCCAGCAAGAGACCAATGAACAGATACCAAAAATAATAATGTCCACACCTGTATCTCCATGGTTCTGTCAGGCATCCATGGCTGCTCTGATCCTTCCCCCACTTGGTCTCGCCCAAGATGGAGGCTCCGGGAGCAGCTGAGCATCTTGAATTAGAAAGCAATGGATATCTTGCTTCTGCTACCAATTCCCCCAGCTGTAAGCCTTCCAACTTTCTAAATATTCCTTTATATGTGGGTCAGAGTTCGGCACCATCCCCTGAGTCTGCTAGGTCCGGTATTCTGGGTTGTTGCTGACAGAGCGCCTCACTGCACGTCTACCGGATCTGCCATCTTGTTTGTTCTTTCCATGTCTGATATTCTTGATGTCTTCCCACAACTCTTCTGGTCTTCAGTCTTTAGTGTCTAGTGCATCAAATAGTTCTTCAGATGATCTCTAAAATCAGGTGGGATATGTTCAAGGTCGTATTTTGGCTCTCGTTGATTTGATTTAATTTTCTTCAGCTTCAGCCTGAACTTGCAATCAATGGTCTATTCCACAATTGCCCCGGGCCTTGCTTTGGCTGATGATATGGAGCTTTTCCACCATCTCTGTTCACAGATGTAGTCAATTCGATGTCTGTGTATTCCACTTGGTGAGGTCCTTGTGTATAGTCATCTGTCATGTTGTTTTAAAAAGATACTTGCAATGAAGTTATTGGTCTTGCAAAATTCTATCATGAGATCTCCAGCATCATTTCTATCACAAGGCCATATTTTTCAACTACTGATCCTTCTTTGTTGCCAACCTTTGCATTCTAATCACCAGTAACTAACAATACATCTTGATTGCATGCTTGATCAATTTCAGAATGAAGAAGTTGGTAGAATTCTTCAATTTCAACCTCACTGGCTTTAGTGGTTGGTGCATAAATTTGAATAATAATGTATGATATTAACTGGTCTTTATACTTCAAGATCGATCTTGAAATGTTCTTTTCGATGATTAATGTGACGCCATTCCTCTTCAGTTTGTCGTTCCCGGTGTAGTAAACCATGTATGTGATTGTCAGTTTTTAAATGGCCTACTTCACTAAGGCCTAGGATATCGACTCACTGAGCTTACTGTATAAAAAAGGCGTGTGATCTGCTTTGGGTAAGACTGTTGTTGTTGTTAAGTGCTGTAGCATCAGCTCAGACCCAAAGCAACCCTGCATAGGGTTTCCGAGGAGCATCTGGTAAGATCGAACTGCCGACCTTGTGGTTCAAACCGATTTTGCAGTCCAGCGCATTAACCCAGATTACAGCCAACAAAACTCTGGAGCTCAGTTTTACTCTGCAACACATGGGTTCTCTATGAGTGGAAATCAACAAACAGGTGAATTAAATAGTCCCACTTTAGTAGGGTTACAGGCACTGGCAGTTGTCGTGGGGGGCATAATGCCAGGAGGGCCTGTGGGAGGTTTCAGGGTAGGAATGGCAGTTGGGGCAGGCTGTATAGTTTGGGAAGCTGAATGGACAAGGCCCTCACAGCTCCCTCTGCCTGTAGGTGCCCAAGCCAGGAGCCGTGGTCCCTAACGCCTGGGGCCTGGAGCTGCAGGCCTCGCTGCACCCCCACTTCAACCTTCAGAGCCTGTACGGCCTGGTGCCCGCGAGTGCCCTGCCCGCGGCGCCCTGGCAGGGCCCGGCGACGCTAGTGGTTGAAGTGCCCGAGCGCACAGTGGCCCAGTGGCTGGCGGAGGTCGCGGCGTCGAGACCCCCGGACTTCGCCCGGGCTGCAGCCCTGCTTTTGTTACAGCTGAGCGCCGCTCTGGAGCGCCTGGAGGCGTGGGGCGCGGCCTTGACAGAGCTACGTCCTGAGAACCTGCTGCTGGCGACGCCGCGGGGATGCGCGGCCACCGGGCTCCCGCGCCTGCTACTCGCAGACTTCGGCCGCGTGCGCCCGCTGCCCACTGGGTCCCAGGGTGCGCACGCACTGCCGCTGAGCTGCCTGCTCAGAGCACTGCTGGGGCCCGGGGTAACGCCTACGGACACGCCCCCTGATCTCGGCCCCACCCCGGGCACGCCCACAGACTCGCCCCTGGCGGCAGGCCTGGAGCACCTGGCTGCCCGGCTGCGGGTTCTGCGGCCTTCAGCGGCCGGGATACGGGACGCACTGCGGGCGCTGCTCTGGGGGCCTGGGCCTGCGCTGCGCGGCCCCGGGACGCCGCTAGGGTCCTGGTTGCGGGTGCGCCGGGCGCTGCTGATCCTGCGTCTGGCTGAGCAGGCGGCGGGCGGGGAGACCCCGGGCCTGGAGGACTGGTTGTGTTGTGAGTGCCTGGCTGAGGCCACCGAGAGCTCGCTGGCCCGCGCCCTGGCGCTGCTATGGGACTGACCCCGCCAGGGAACCGACCCTACGCTAGCTCTAAGGTGGACAGGGGTGCTCTGGACCTCTCCAAGACCAGACGCCCTTTTCCAGTGCTGTGGCTGGTGAACACGGTCCCCACAACAGCGTTACCCTCTTCCAGAGGATGATGGACGGCCCCACCCTCCAGTACCTGCCCCTGCTTATGCTGGGGATTTAGGGCCTCCCGCCCCTTCCAGAGTGGGAGGTCCAACTGCACCCTCTGACACGAGGTAGGATACCCACCCCTTCCACACCCCCTAGCCGGAATCTGAGCGCGGGGGACCCCTCCCTTCCAGCAGAGGCCACTCCCCTCCCAAGCTGGGGTATGATGTCACTGTCTCCCTCAGCGTATTGACGTATTGACGCCCCTGTGGAAGACAGGCTCCCTGATGATCTCCCAGCACCCTCATCATGCTGCATGCTCTCTCCACTCTCCACTCCCCACTCTCCCTGGCTTCCTTGCTACTCCTAAATTCTGCCCCGCCTTTGTGGGGGGTGGGGGGTGGAGGGAGGCTGTTACCCCTTCCAGACAGCACAAACCCCATCTCCCTCCAAACAATAAAATGGCCTCCCTTAACGACTGCTTGGAGCCCTGGTGTAGCGCTGAAGGATAAGCACTGGACCTAGAGGTCAGCTTAAACTGCAAGGTGGCAATTCAAACCTACTAGCCACTCCTCGAAAACCCTATACTGAGCCCTTGAGTCGGACCCCACTCGAAGGCAATTACAAACGACTGTCTGGACCCTCACCTGACTGGGGAGTGTTTCTCCACCTCTGCTGTGGGGGAGGGCAGGGGCTGGTCCTGGCACAGAGCAAGCTTGTCAAGGGAACTTTGGTTTATGCCTCTGAAAAATGGACACAGGAACCCTAAGGGGTCCTACTGTCCTCACCTGGGCCTTCTCCCCTAGCTGGCCTCCAATTATAACCCCACTATCCCATACAGAGAACTCTGGTAGCGTAGTGGTTACGAATCGGGCTGAGAACCTTAAGGTCAGCGGTTCGAAACTACCAGCCGCTCCGCGGGAGAAAGATGAGGCTTTCTACTCCCGTAAAGATTTACACCCTCGGAAACCCTGTACAGGGTCGCTATGGGTCGGAACCGACTCAACGGCACTTAACAACAACAATCCCATTCCCACCATGGTAGCTTCATGGTATCTTTCTGACCCCCATGTATGATCATGGCTGCTCTCTCTCCTGACCACCTCATCTTTGGAGGTACTTTGTGAACCCCAGACCTTTTACCCAAGTTGTTTCTTCCATAGGAAAGAATTTCCCACCTTCGTTCTCTGCCTCAGACTCCTAGTCACCCTGCAATGCCCCAGCTCCAATGCCCTTCTCTGCCCTTGTCCAGTGGTGTCACTAGGAGGGTGTGGGGGTGTGGACCACACCGGGTGACACTGTTAGAGGGGGTGACACCAAAATGACTATAAAATTTTCTTACAGTGTTTCAGCAGAAATTTTTAAATAAAACAATCCCTGTAGTTATAATAATAAAGATTTTTGTAAGCCCTTCTTATATGCATCAACAGACCTACAAGGCTAAAGCGCTGTCATTCTTAGCCAATTACAATGATGCTTCAAGTCACATGCTTTCTTCTGCATGGGCTACAAGCACGTGCTGTTGTTTTCATTGCTACCCATGGTTCCTAGTCGCTGGTTTTGTCACATTTTCTTGTATTCGCTACAGCATTGTTGTTATTTGTGAACCTGTACCAGTAACTTTTTTGAGAAGAAAGTAGTAATTTAAAGGAAAAGGAGTGACACATGGGACTTAGGATTTAGAAGTAACATTAATGCCAATGGGTTAGTATGGCCTGGTGCTGGAGCAGGGATGGGGAACCTTTTTTTCTGCCAAGGGCTATTTGGCTATTTATAACAGCACTCAGAGGCCACACAAAATTATCAACTTAAAACTTGGCCTGCTATAATGCGATGCCTGGAACTAGTTGCCTTGGCTGGAGCAGGCCAAATGATTTCCCAGGCTTTAAAGGACCCTGGGGCCGGAAGTTCCGTGTAGTGGAGGAAATCCCTGGGTGACACCAACCCTAATGACACCACCCTTCCCCTAACCACATGGGCTGGGAATGTCTTTATCCAGCTCTGTAACCCCCAGGCCCCACTATAATTCAGATAGTTGAAGAGTCCAAATGTACCTACACCTGCCTGTTACCTGCTGTGACTCAGTCAATAGGTCACCTAGTCCCATCTCTCCTTTAAAAAATGTTGGCACTGTAGGATAATGCACTGGACCATAAGGTCAGTTTGAACTACAAGGTCGGCATTTCAAATTCACCAGCTGCTCCTTAGAAACCCTAACCAACTCAGAGCTCTGGGAGAAAGATGAGGCTTTCTGCTCCTGTGGAAATTTAAAGCCTGGGAAACCCTATACAGGGTCCGCTATAATCAAGAACCGACTGCCCCCTCAAGACTCAAAGCTCTGTGCAGTAATTCTAGCAACACCCAGTAGGGAGCGTCCCAACCCCTAAGATTGCAATGGGAAAGGGCTAGGGTCTTTGTTCTAGTACAGCTGTGGAGCCCAGCTCCAGCCTGGCAGCTTCCCACCAACCACCACCCCACCCACCCACCAAGGTAGTCCCCATGGCCTTCCCATGAGGTCACCGGAGTCCCCAGCTAATGCACACACAGTGGATAAGCATGGCTGCTCACTGAGAGGGAAGAAAGTTCCCGTCCACCAGAGCAGAGCACCCAGGAAGAAAGGCCAGGTCATCTACTTTCAAGAGCAGTTCCACTCACACACACGGGGTCACTAGAGTCAGTGTGTTGCTCCTGTGGGGTCTCCCACCCAGAGTCCAAGTCAGGAAACCCTCTCCCACCAACCACTATTAAGGAGGCAATGCAGAACAGAAATTCAACTTTTCACGGAATCCGTAACTTCTGGAGGGCTAGATGAAATGCCTGAAGTTATCGCCTGAGGATTACCTTTAAACCTTAGGCCAAAATACCAGTCGCTCTTTTAAGATGTCACGAATCAAACCGACAGCAGCTTCAACTTGAAAGGTTAGGTTAGGAAATGTACTGACAGTTCGTGGTAACTCAGGTTGCCCAAGTCGTGCTGCTCTGCTGTATACAAACTGCTGGGTTGGTTAGTGGGTGTGTTTATTCTCAACAAATAGGATTCTCAGTCAGGAAAAGTAAGAGCTGGGAATTGGTCAGTCCATCCTCCCAGGAGGACTGTAGACACTAGCTGGTGGGGACCTGAAGGAGCGGAGGGGAGGGGAAGCCCCAGGTACATGCCAGAGCCCCTTGAGGCCCCCACGTACATTAGATCCCTTTCCCAAGAGGTTTCCCATGCTCTCAGTCCTCTGTGCCCCCCAGGGACCAGCATCTCCACGGATTTGGGGAAGGCTGGGTTGGCACAGCGGAGGCTGGCTCTCACCTGTGACCTCAGCCTGTTTCCAGGAGGCCTCCTCCAGGACACCCTTAATCAGCTCACACCAGCAATCAGAGAGTAAAATAGAAACTTTTATTTAGAATTAAAGCAAATACTTCAGTATCACAAACACAATATTAAACTTCAAGGAGTACACTGCTGATTTGGAGTGAGCGTTTATTTGCACAATTACAACATGCGGACACACCCGAGAAAAGGGGCACCTGACACCCCCACCCGCCCACAGCACTGGACACAGCCATTGGACAGTCTGGCCTCTGCAGACAGGGGGCCGGCAGCCACTACTCCTCCTCCTCCGAGGAGTCCCTCTCGAGTGTGTAGACCATGAAGCAGGCGTCGGGTCTCTTGGGGACAAGGGGATGTCCCGGTCTCACAATCTCAAAGCCCAAAAAGCTGAAGGTCCGGAGCAAGGCGGCTGTGGGGAGATGTGGCCATCAGCCATGCCCGTGGGTTAAGGGGGTAGTGGGCAGACCCACCCAGCACCCCTTGACCCAACTACCTCTGTCATCCCGGTTCTTGTGGAAGCAAATGAAGACATGGTCCACGCGGAGCTGCTCCTCGGCAAACTCGAGGAGGACTGCGAGACTAAAGGTGCCAGGCGGTTAGGATCCACCAAGCTGCACGCCCCCCACCCCAAGCCTCTCCAGGGCCCCAAACTGTAGGGTGTTGAGTAGCATCCCTTGTCTCTTCCCACCTTAAAGGGACCCTCCCCCCCCAATGATGGATACCTCCTCGGGACTTTTCCCCTCCAGCACCCAGCCGAAAGCCTGAGCCCTCACCTGTCTTTGCTCCCCTCGGGTAGCGCACCACCTGGGATTTCCACAAAGAGGCTGCCGCCGCTCAGCACAGCCCTCCAGGTGATGTGTTTGGCATCCGTGAGCCTGGATTGGACGTTTAAAATTCTCGTCTTGTCATTAGACGCTACTTCCTCTGTTACATTCAGCCGATTATCCTGCAGACGGCGACAGAGGGCCCATCACGAGGGGAAGGCGCCCACGAGGGGGAGCAGACACTCCTCCCACCTGCGAGGCGCCCCCCCATACTCACCGAGTAAAAGACCTTAGCTGAAAGATTGTGATCCCTCTGACTATCCCCTCGCCCACCTGGGATCTTCAGGGGTGGGTGAGGGGCATCAGGAACACCACCGAGGCCCTGGACCCAGGTTACTACAGCAATTGAAGGGAACCCTGGAACTGCAGAACCGGGGGGAGGGGATCAGCGGCCAGCAGCCCGGCCCCGGCCCCGGCCCCCCCAGCGCTGCGTCACGGCGGCTGGCGGCGCCCCGGGCGCTTTCACAATCGCGCGCGGAGCCATTGGCCGCGCGCTGTCAGCAGGCCCCAGAGCCGCCTCCATTTTGTGGGGCCCCCGGTCCCCCATCTCCTCGGCCCAAACCCCCGACCTACACGTGGCTCCGGGGTCCGCCGCCCACCAAGCCAGCCGGGGCGGCGCGACCGTTAAACGCCGGATCCCGGAGGCCGCTTTCCCGACTCAATTCCGGGAGCAGGGGCGCGGCACTCCCGAGACCGCCGTAACCCCGAGATCGGACCCCGGGGAGAGACCAGGACCCCGCGCC